CAACTAGTTCAAAAAATTGGTAATTTTTGTCAAAAAAAAAAAATCACTTTTGACGCCTCAAATGACTTTGAATCGCAAATTTAAGGCCATTTCAGTAATCAGCGATGAAAATTACCATAAGATAGCCTATTTTTAGATGATTTATAGTAAGTTAAATTATATTGAAAATGCATGAAAATATGACCAAAATGGGTCCGACAAGAATTTCGGTGGTTAAGCTCAATTTTTTTTTTCTATCTGAATCAATTTGACCACACCAAGTATGAGGTGGTTGTTCTCAGTTCATGGCGTACTAGATGGGGCGAAATATAAATATAAACTTCTCGTGGGCACGAACTTTCATTTTGGGTGGAGAACTGTGTTATTTGTTTTGTCTGTGTCTAATATGCCGCATAATATATAACTAATCGTTTCGGAGGAGCAGCACTTTTTTTTTAAAAAAAAAAAAAAAAAAAAAAAACATTATAGTATCAAGTTATTGTATTATTCTCCGCCACACTGCATAGGTATACAAGATTATAGATATAAGATATATGTAATAATAGTAGAGTAACTCAGTGTCCCAACACCATGGTGTACCACCATCGCGCAGTTTTTTTTTTGTTGTTGTTGTTGAATTTTCCATTAATAAATAAGCAAGAGAAGAGAAGCAAAATGGTATAGTACCTACGAGTATTACAATTGAAATTCAATTGGTGCATTTTTGTTTTTCGTACCTATGCATATTCTCTCATCCGACGCGACGACCATCGCCACATCGTTCCGAAATTCTCAACAACATTATAAATTAAATAAACTTATAGTTAGTACATATAGGAGTAATGACAGTATAATTATAATATGTAAAATAATAGTAATTAAGAAGGCTTCCTGCTGCAATCATAAAACACAAACACACACGCGCGCGTTATATTATATTCGATACTATCGTTTGCTCTTGACAATTTTTAAAAGTCTCCGGCGGACGATTGATTGATGTATACTACTTGTATAGTAACCCCCCGCATCTTCTTCTTCTTCTTCTTCTTCTTCTTCTTCTTCTTCTTCTTCTTC